GCTTAACTTTCTAAAATCACTTGAAAATAATCCTAATTTTTGACTTTCGAAAACAAGAAAGTTACACAACCTCAGCTGAATTATATGATGTTATAATATTGAATGCATTGGAATAATCACCAAATTATGTGGTACATTTCAAGACCAACAGACAGCAGTTCGGAAATCATTGAAAATCAAGGAGCACTGGACAGTTGTTTCATTCTCATTTGCGACTCTAGCAATTCGCCATCACGAACCCAGGACCATCAGGTTTAGAGCCTATCCAGTTGGGTATTCAGCTACTGGGACGAAATCTGATCTTTCTTGGGCTTTAACTCCTATCTATTCGTGATTTAGTTAAACTACTATTCAGTGTAATCCTTGGAAATCTATCCCAACATAAAACTTGGTCATGAATTCCTGTTATGATTCCAAGATCTTGATCCCGTAGTCTTTTAGTAATAGGGATAAAAAATCCTTTTAAAATAAAGTTTGTAAAGATTCGACTGATTTCAAGATAGACTTCCTCACAAACAGACATCACTTAGGGAAACTCTGAAACTGTATACTACTGATCGATTGAGATGAGTAGTTATATGCCACTTATGTCAACAAGTGGTAATTCCTAGCCAGACAAAAGTTATCTAAACACCGGATAGCTGGTAAGTCGTATGCGCAGACTTGACATCGTATTGAAAGTTACAGCCTAGTTTACAAAGTATGGATTGGATTTATGGCCCCACCAGTTAGCCCAAATAGCTAACCAACCAAAAGTTCGGTGGTTTGCACTGATTCGGCTTCCCCAGTTAAGTTAAACCCAGTGCACTGCTGGGTATTTCGGCCCAAAATGAGTGAAACCGCCAGTTCGGTGCTTAGATCAATCCGATCTACCTAGTAAGCACTACTGGTTGATATGCGTGATTTATAACTATTCATCTCAGTAGATCAGTGGTATACAGTTTTATTCAAATACAATTGCATTCTTGATTACCACTTATGGTATCAAGCATATCACATACTGTGATCTTAATACTTTGGTTTCCAAAGGAATCTACGCTAAACATTTCTGTGTGCGTCGAGAATTCCGAATCACTAAAGATCTTTACAACCTAACACTTAAAACAAAGTATGAGTGTTTATTTTCTCGAATATTCCTTTGACTGGAGATATACCTGCGAAATAAAGTACCATAACAGATCTGGCATAAATTCTTATAAAGCAAGAAAGACCATTATCTGCAGCATAAAATGATAGCGTTCATATTTCACAGGCTCTTATCACCTGCAAACTACCTGAAATAACAACGGTTATATAAAGAAAAAGAAAAATAACACATTTCAATGTTTGAACGACAGTCATGAAAATGTTCTAAAAATTAACGCATCCAAAAGTAAAGATTACAATTTTAGTTTAAGTTACCATAAATTTATATGCCTCCAAAGTAGGGATAAGGAGCAGAGGACATGAAAATATAATCACCAACGTTAGTTTATAATAGCACAAGGCAACTCAAGAAGGTTATGGTTCTTAGAGCCAAAATTTGCACATTGAGCTGAAATTACTGATACGGATGACAAATCAATATAATCAAGATGCAGTTACTAACGGAGTGAGAGACTAATCGCATCCTGTTTCTGTATGCATACGTTTGGTTTGACTGTAACTGTTTTAGCAAATAGAAGTAATTTTTCTGTCTTTTTTATGTTTAATATTTCGAAGGATTAGAGAATCTTGACGAAATACGAGGTGCCTAGTAATTGCACTTTGTGAGTATCTACTTTCTTTAAGGCGTATGTTTCTAGGGGTATGCTCAGAAAATTCAATAGAAGCCCTTCTGTCTTTCCTTCCAATGTACTCGCTATTACAATTTCCTGTAAGTTTAAAGACGCAGTCGGAGATGAGATCAAAGGAGTAAATATACAGTTAAATTTGGTTTATTGAGCAGTGCTGTATATTGTTAGGAGCTTAATTTCAGGGAAGCTTATATTTCAAATGCGTCGACTTTTATAATATTTTCACTAGTACCATTCAAGCATTGAATTATGTTATTTTTATTATTTTTTTCATAACAATTGTAATTTCAAGTAGTTTGCAGGTGATGAGAACCTGTGAAATAAAATAGAGTGAAATAAATAATACTGCAAATAATGATCTTTCCTGCTTCATCAAGATAGATTTCGAATACCTTATTTTAGAGAATAATTCAGCCTCAAAATATCAAGTAACTATTTTAAAATATGTACACAAGAAAACATATATACAAAGAAAACACTGAGCTGAACACTTCGAAAGACTTCTTAAATGAACGCCAACTAAAACGCACCCAATAGTATCAACAGCGGAAATAGAACTACCAATGGATACTAACCCTCCGATGAAAACAGAAATCCTGAAGGCAATAAAGATGCTATAAACTAGAAAAACAGCAGGACCGGACGGAATCCCGACAGAAGCATTGAGAATGGACCCGAGACATCAGCGGACTTGATGACACCACTACTGGAGAAGGTGTGGCAAGAGCACAAGGTACCTGAGGATTGGAAGAAAGGAAACTTATTCAAACTGCTATAGAAAAAAGACTTAAGTCAATTCGAGAACTGATGCGGAGTTATGCTCCTGTCCATTCCAAGCAAAATATTAAGCCACATCATCCTGCAGAGAACCAAACACACCCTGGATGAAAAACTTCGACCGGAACAAGCTGGATTCTAGAAAAACAAGTCATGTATTGCTCAAATCGCCACTCTACGGATCATCATTGAACAAAGCTTGGAATGGCAGTCACCTCTCCATATCAACTTCATCGACTTTGAAAAGGCCTTCGATAGCGTCAATCGAGAGGTGATTTGGTGACTGCTTAGCTACTACTGGGTGCCATCGACAATTATACATCTCATCCAACAGTTGTGCGACGATGCTGAATGCCAAGTAATCCATAATGGGAAACTGATGAAATTCTTCAAAGTGAAGATGGGAGTAAGACAAGCTGGTTGCCTACTATCTCCAATGATTTTCCTGACTGCGGTAGACTGGATAATGTGACAGAGAGCGGCGGGCAGCGAGCAAACATACATAAAACAGACCTCCACAAAACACTTGGAGGATCTGGATTCCGCCGATGATATATGTCTGATTTTTCACAAACTGGAAGATATGCAAGTGAAAAGCAACAAGTTGTTAGAAGAAGCATCCAGACAAGATGGGCCTTCATGTGAACATAGAGAAAACAGAGGGGATGAAGCCAGGTGATGACCAACAGCAACCACAACAACAGACAACAATCAGCCAGCATAAGAGGGAGAAATGTGAAAGAAGCAACCTCCTTTACCTATACACCTACCTACCTGGGAAGCATCGTTTCAACTGCAGGCGGACGGAACTGACGAGGATATCAAAGTGAGGACCAGGAAAGCAAGTGGAGGTCAGCAGTACTCAGCATGAAAATGGAAATAAGATCATGATTTTCAACTGCATTGTGTAGTCAGTGCTACTTACTATACGGATCAGAGAATTGACGCCTCGTCACGAAGGACACTCCGAACAAGCTACAGACCTTCTTCAACAGCTTTCTTAGCTCAATACTCAAGATCGGATGGCCAAAAAAGATCAGCAATAGTGAGGGGTCTCTGGCAATGAGCGAACCAACCCAGCAGGAACTGATTGTGCAACAAATATGCAGGAAGAAATGGAGGTGAATTAACCATACTTTGAGAAAACCAACTATCAAGTGACATCACATGCCAGGCCATTGCTTTAGTTGAACCCGAATGGAAAGCGGTGAATTGATCTTCACTGCGAGGATGACATAGAGGAGGTCATGTGAAGAGGAGATGAAAGCATATGGGCAGACGTGTTGGCAGGCGAAAACGCTGGTAGAGAACCGAACGCAATGGAGACGTGCAGGTGAAGCCCTATGTTCCTCTAGGAACTAAGGCAGAAAGTAACAATAATAAAAAGAAACTAACATTTTATTATTTATTACTATTTCTTGGAAATGCTCAAAAATCACTATCCAGCTACAGTGATCTACTTTTGGGTTATTTTTTTCTACGCGACAGGAATTTCAGTATGATTTCAGCCATCATCTTTAGTTTAATTTAGAATTTGGTGAAAAATGAGCTTTTGTACAGATTGTTTTATGTGTCCATTCTCTCATGAAGATTAATTATTCCATTATCCTGCTTCAATCAGTTGAACTTTTAACTGCCTTACCGAATATCTCTGCTTTGAATAGCTACCAAAACCGTTTGGTATTTTTATTGTATTCTACATTGATACTAAATACTAATGATTTTCGGAGGTGCTTATTTTGTGGTAGACTGGTTTCAGTTTTACTACTTCTGTCTTAGGCAGGCACTTAGGACTTGATGCTTAACCAATTATGTACTAAAAGGATTTCACTGAAATCGTTGGTGGATTGCCTTTTATATTCATGGTTAAAAGGGATTTTTCGAAACTTGTGCTATTCTGTTTCGAATGAGTGAAAACATTAGGTGTATTCCACTCAAGACAGTATAACTGATAATAATGAGTATCGCTGTTCTATGCTCCCGCTACACATGCTTGGTCCAGGGTTCGATCCTCAGACGACACACTCCTATGCCTCACCTGACTGGGAAATTAGGAATTCTGAACGTGAGGCAAGCAAACCTATCCAGTGAAAAGTAAACACCATTGTTACTTAAACCTCAAGACTGAAGCTTGTAGCCCTAAGTTTGACTCAGAAAGCAAGCGAATACAAAAAGCATTCTTTGCTGACAAGGTTTAAATAATTCCTGAAGAATTAAATAAATTAAATAAAATTAGCTATTAAGAACATGTGATATAATACTTCACATGCGTTTAATGGGTATTTGTATTATAATATTCATGGATTAATAACTATAGCGTCTGAAGAAGAATTTAGCAAAAACAATTGTTCCCTCCGAATCATCTTGTTTTGATTACACTATAGGGATTTTAAATTTACAAATTTAGTAAACACTGACCTTTCTTTTTTAATTCTTTTAAACTTTCAGCATGAAAAAGGATATGGTAGAATTTCTTCCTACAGAACCTATGAAAGCTGGGCGAGGTAAGTGTTTGCCTATGCTTTTCTTCAATAATATTCATTTAACCTACTAATAATGTCATAAAATTCATGTGAAATGAATACCACTTTATCGAAGATCACCAATCAAATTTCCTAGTTTAGCATAAATTACCCAGTTCTTCTCATAACTAACAGCACATTTGCCAAGTAACAACAATAATAATGTCGTGTTTTTATATACTTTTGTTCGTATAAAGGACTACAAATTAGTAAATACAAGTTTTCCGAACCACCTGGTTATGTACACCTGATTTCTCCAATACCCTACACTACCGCAATGTCTTTTTTCTTAATTTCCCTACTTTTAACGGATGAACCCAGTTGATGGCTAATCGTTTTAACTTATCTGTGAAATTAGTGTCTTCCGAGGTCGTTTGAAAATGTGTATATATGCAGAATCTCTGTCAGGCCTTGTTGTTGTTGATTCGAGATAGTGAAATCTGTCTTGTAAACGGGTCATTTTTTCTTTCTTTCCGTGTTGTCGATATCATGACATGGTGGTTGTCTTTGAGAATTATGATTAAAACACTTGGGCTCGTAAATCTACTGATTAGAATGTTCATTAGCGCTTGCAATACGTAAACTACCAGGTTTTATTGAAAATGATATCACATATAAGACAAATATGATTTGTAAATTAAGGTATCTGTCTAAATATACAGATATTATACGGAATAAAGTAAGCGGAAAAGCTAAGCTAACAAAAAATGGACTAGATTACTTAAACTTTATTGTATGTATTACTGACAAACACTTTAGTTTATTCTAATAGATATTGTCTTTAGCTGATTTCTGGAAACGGTAATCTACTTACAACTGTATACTTTACCCAAACCAAGTTCACTTTTAACAGCTTGAAAAAATTTGGGTATTGGGTATATGATATTCATTATAATAAAGGTTTTTTGTATTTCTCAATGAATGAAAAACAAAACGATATTGCTGTTTTTACTGACGTTTCGCCATTTAATGCTGCTAATAGCTTTATCAAAGTATTATTAAACCGGAATTTACAAAATCCACTCAGCTTATATATAACAAAGAGTTAAGGGTGAGAAAATAGACTAAGGTGAAGTTAAAAGGACGTATTGAAAGTCAAAATAGCAATGAAGATCACTAAACCAAATATCAAAGGTACATCTGTTATGATATCAAAACAAAGTTTACTAACTTGATCATCGTTCGTCAGTCTGGGTCATTATTCGTTGTGAAGTTGGTCAACTGGTAGAGATAACAAAACCAAGTGTATATTGTTGGATTTGATCAGTGTGTGACATTATAAAAGTAGTAAGTATTTACATAGTGAACTTACTTATCACATTCGTGTTGATTTCGTCACTTCATGGAGGAGGGAGGTGTCGTAACCAGGTCAGACTCTGTTTTAGTCCATCATTCCTATTCAGGCAATTTGGATTCTGATATTAGACGTTCTTTGTGATTTCTGAAGTTTTCCGGATTATTTCAATATTGTCAAAAAATCAATTTTCTGGCCTGATTCTATAGCGTGGACCTATGGCTGACGATTTTTCAAGCTTTTTTAGTTCAGCTGGATTTCTCGGTTGTCAAACAGATGCTCTGCAGTGTTCATTTCTTCTGATTTTGATTTCTCAAGATGTTTGTCCGATGTACATCACATCACATTCCAAGCAAGCATTTTATTTTATAGAGACAGTTGGATAGAGAATCCATAGTTATTTGGTTTTTTATATGGACAAGGTTGTTTCGCAGTGTGTCTGATGTTTTAAAGAGGACTCTTGTGTCGGGCTGATTGAGTACTCTTCTGATGTCGTCTGATGTCTGTGCTCTATATGAAATGACGACTGTTGAGGTCCATGTTTTCGGAATGCGTTTTCGGCCATACTTAATGCCTGTGTTGATTTTGTTGATGTAGTTATTTTGTTTGAAAGTCTCAGTAATGTTTAAGTTTTCTTCTTCTTTTTCCTTCTCATCCGTTATCAGAGAGTGTGCTCGTCTAAGACAACTTGAAACAACTGAAATCCTTGTGCTGATAGGGTGTGATAATTTAAAGTCTAAATATTTATTGGAGTGTGTTTTCTTCCCGAATATGGATATACTAAAATGTCCGTTTTCCCTCCTCTTAACTAGGCAGTCTAGAAACTTGACCTAAGTCTATTTTTTTCTCACCCCTTAACTCTTTGTTATATGAGTGGATTTTGTAAATTCCGGTTTAATACTGCTTGATAAAGCTATTGGCGGCAGCATTAAATAGCGAAACGTCAGTAAAACAGCAATATCGTTTTGTTTTTCATTCATTGGGAAATACAGAAAAAACCCCTTATTATATTGAATACTTACAACTCTCTTTTCATCTGTGTCTTATTTTCTATCGCATATCACATACTTCACGGCTTTTAAGCTTATCTAATCAGTTCTACTGGTAACAATGTTCTGAAACAATAGAACTAAAATTTGATGACAAGATAAAAGAAGTATCATTGTTTTAAAATCTGTAAACTGCCTGTTCTCGTAATCATTAAGAGATTAAAACTGGTATCGTATCACTGGATAATCGAAACGAGCAAATCATACCACATAATTCCACTAAAAGAATAGCAGTTTTGGTAAAAATACCAAAATGGTGTGAAGTATCATACAACTACGTGACTGTAGGCCTTTCAGACTGCTTTATTTAATATTTAGGACCTTTTTTAATCGCATAGCAAATAAAATAAGGCTGCAATTAAAGCGATATCCGAAGGTTAGTCATACATTTATACATGCATGATACGATATGCATAGATAATTCATGTATTTCACTGATTGATGATTAGATAAGTGATCAGATTGTTGGAAATGTAGTGCTTCCGCTGATGTCAAGAATAGGGTGTAAGGATTTTACTAACGCAGCTTGAAGGTAAAACGTTATAGCTCATTGGAGAATAATGTTCTCTTAACTTCTAAAGTGTACTGTTATATAGTGTTCTAAAAGGTTATGGAAACCCCTTAAAGGTCAGTTGTTAATATCTTCTGGGGTCGGATAGGTTTCTTCTATTTACACAGCTCAAGGTTTTCTTTGTGTGTGGCGATAGCTCCCATTGTAGACAGAAAATGTAGCCAGAAACCTCTCGAGCGATTTAGCCTTACCTTAGAAAGATATCTGTGTTGATGGTGTGTAAGAACAGGGTGCTCAAGAAGGTACTAAAGTTTTGTCTATTTTCTCCTTTTAATAACTATGTGGGGGAATGATGGGGGATAGTGATCTTACTTTTCAGGTCTATCTATGTATCATACTACTTAAATGTAACGTAAATTGCTTTGCATTGCCATTTTAAAATAGAAAACCCCACAATAAAATACGTTATTTAATAATGAAACCATTACCTTGAATTATTCAAAAATTCAGTGTTTTATAAAGTGTTTACATGAAACTTAAATGTACTCTAGCAATTTTAGACTGTCCGCGACTTTTTATAGTTTAATTTACAATTGAAACACCATCTCAACATATGGATGTCAAAAATGGTCTGAATTTAGAAAGCACTTAAAACAAGTTAAGAGTTATATAGGCATTTAGTCTCGGGAAGCCTAAACGTTTTAAGAACAGGCTAAAATGGGTAATCTTTCCTTTAGTTTATTACAAAAAAATATGATTATCAGGACTATCAAATATAAATAAGCATCATACGCCATTAATGTTGACCAAAATTCAGTGATATATGCCGAATGTCAAATGAATTTAAAGTCTTGCAGGCGAAAGCCAACTGGTTGTCAGAAGAAGCAGAGACGACACAACTTCAAGTAGACGTAGAGAAGAAGGAGGTGGTAAAAATAACCACCCAACTGCACCAACAAGCGCCAACCTCTACCAAAGGCAAAAATTTGAAGAAGGTCACTTTCTTCACTTATCTAGGTAGCTTCGTTTCAATTACACTACACGGTTAGGAATGTAAAAATCCCCACAATTTGAAAAGCAACACAGACCTTCATTATTCTCATGTCACTGTGTAAATCAGTTGCACTCAGAATAAATAACGAAATTCAGATTTCCAATACCAATGTTAAGACAGTTCTTCTTGGTACTTCACGAAGTGAATTTTCAACCAACTGTTGCAGACTTTTATCAACAGTTGCCTTCGCTAGCTGCATACTGAAGATCAAATGACCAGAAAGAATTAGCGACAAGTAACTCTGAAAACAGATCGATCAAGCACTTACTGTTCAACAAATATTCTGAAAGAAATGGGGTTGGATTGAAAATACGCTGAGGAGGCCATCGAGTGCCATCACGCGTCAGGCTGTCACTCCAGTGGAACCGAATGAAAAACGACGAGTTGGGCTGTAGATTTGAGGGTGACATGGATGAAGTCGTTCGGAGGTGATGAGAGCTTATGAGCAATCGTGGAGCCAGCTGGAGAAGACTGCAGAGAACAGGACAAGATGGAGATACGCTGTTGAAGGCTTATGATCCACTAGGAAAACAAGGAAATAATAATACGTCACAGCCAAATATTATGAAAAACTGTGTTTGGTTAACAAAAAGGGCAACAAACATTTCTTAGATAAGCTACTGATTATCCAATCAGACTTCAACCCAGCTTAAATCATTAATCGAAACAACTAGAGAAATTATTAAACAGGAGAAACTTGGTGATAGTCACTGTTTCTATGGTTATCAGGGCGTTCAGTATAATTGTTAATTACTGAGACTAACTACTTCTAAGGTTTGTTCCTGTAGGAGAATTAACTTTGTTACACTGAGAATGAAGTTTGTATGACACACAAGTAAATGGTAAAGCGATATGACTGGAAATCTTATTTAAGACTGAGAAGTCAACATTGTAGTAAGTGATATTCAACTTCTTGTTTTCACCGTTTCTTTCCAGGGAACATATGCAACTGTATACAAAGGCTACAGTCTTTTATCTAAACAGCCAGTGGCACTGAAACGTATACGTATGAGAAAATCTGAAGGTGCCCCGTGTACAGCTATACGCGAAATCAGTTTATTACGGGGACTTAATCATGCAAATATTATAAAACTACACGATGTTATCTACGAGGCTGAATCATTGACATTGGTATTCGAGTTTGGAGTAAGTCATTATTTGATACACATTTTTATCAAGGGATCAAAAAGAGGATTTCATGATTGTTCAGTATTTTATAAGGCATCTTTTCATTTGTCGAGTCGATTTCATAAAAGCGCTTTGTGCCTAACTGTTGTTCATTTGGAAGGCGGAATTTTTATTAATTTGAGGAAACCCTTCAGTATGAGTTAAATTTACATTAAAAAATTTACTGGCGTATTATACTTAAGACAGTTTCCTGTAAAGTATTTCAGAAGAGTGAAATTTTTCTCAGTGTTCAGTGACATTTCATAAAATTGAAAAATGTTGAATAGGAAATCGTCGTCAAGTAGTTAGTATTTTTCAAGTTTGATTAAGGTCTTGTATCAGTTAGAGAACTTTTGAAAACCAGGGAGTACTGGACAGCTACTTCTTCCTAGCATAGGATTCATCGACAGTAGGCAACCAATATGTTTCAAACCAGGAGCTACCAATTACACAGAAAGCTCACAGACCATTTAGCCTCTAGGATCCGACTCAGTGGTCCATGAGTTCTAACTTCCAGCATTTCGTGACTTTTAATGCGACCACTAGCCAATGTCATCAGCGAATATTTATCCTCACCTCCAACCGGGTGGACTCTACTGGTCACGCGTTCTCATCAGAACTGAAGGCACCTTCCTGCTGCAGCCAGTCATCAGTAGACATTAGATTAATATCCATTAGTTTGTAACCTTTTGGGTGTGCACTGAGTCTCAAACTAGGAAGAAACAGATGTCTAGTACTCCCTGGTTTTCAGATGTACTCCTTCTGATAATAATCCACGATCCAACTTGAAAGTTTTAACAAGTATTTGTTTTTGTATCGATTTTGTTTGATTGCCTGGAAGATTTCATCATGAGCTGACATCAGTTATAGAACCATTGGAAAACCTGAGAGTACTGGACAGCTGTGTCGTCCCAAATTTCGGGACATTAAAAGTGGTCACGCTATGTCATGAATTGTCAGAAATAAAAGTTCATGGGCTGACCACTGGACCGGGTCCCAGTGAGTTAATGGTCAACGAGCTCGCTGGCCTTGAAACCAGAGAGTCCTGGTTTCGAGCCACGGTGAGCGCGTACCGCTGAAGAGGCTCAAAACTTGGACGGAACAGCTGTCCAGTACACCCTACAGGTTTTTCAATATTTCTCTAACTGATGTCAGCTCACGATGAAATCCTCCAACTAATCAAACTACTCAAATCCCTACAAACGAACTTATGGAAGTTAGTTCATTGTTTACCGATCCATGTGATCTAAATAGAGATAACACACCATAAACTTACAATGAAATAACAGTATACATTAACAGAGTTAGGAGCGTATATGAAAAAATGAATATCCATTATTAAACAGCTGGTTTTTAGAATCAAAAGAAATTAGCTCATCTAGCACAATTTATGAGATAATGAAAGTTTGTGTGTTAAGAATATCTGTCGCTTCTCGCTTTGGAGTACCACCTTCAATTCTCATGACGAGTAGAGTTTAGCACTTTAAGAAACCTTAGTCAGCTCATACGTGTTCACTTACCTACTATTTCATAATATGTTTTGTGACATTTTGAAAACGTTACTGAGCATTTTGTTACAGCTAGTGAGTGACCAGTTTGATTTTTTCTGAAACTCTGAATATAAATCATAATTACAAAATACCATGAAAGAGACAAAGTTAAATTGCACGAATAATCCCCATCCAGGCATTATTGAAAAGAACAGATCAAGCAGTTCAGTAAAAAGGATCTTTTCGTTGAATTGATTTTCTTTAGTTCTACAATCATATTGATAGACAACTTTTTAACATAAAAGAGGATATTAGCAAAAGGGATGAGTTGTCGGAATCATTGTTGGTAATATCAGTCAATGCAGAAGAGTTGACTAAGCGTACTGGACTTATGTAACAAGGTTAATGATTTATTGACTGCTATGTGACCAAAATGCACACGGCAACAAACGAATTTCGAACCCATTGACAAAGATTCTAACCGTCAACCAGCTAGCGACAGCAGCTGTTCTATAAGGTGTGACGTAACGGAATATCTTGTCAACACTGGTCATTCCATCTCAAGAAATGCTTACTTCAAAGTAATCTATAAACTGAAGAACATACCAAAGACAATATTCCTTCGTCTTCTGTGCATTGCTGAAGATTTAGCCATTCAGGTAGGAAAACCAGAGCTATGCATGCCATAGAAAATTATTCAACCACTTCTACTATTATCATGGTGACAACAACCTTACTGTTTCCGACTAACTTGATTTTGTTTATTTGCTTTTTCATAACTCTTGTATTTCTTTCGAACCCTTACGTAATTTCACATTTCCCTGTGTTTCTGTGTGATTCCTGATTACAATTCACTCATTAAATTATTCATCTTGTTAGGTAACTCCAATACACTCACCCAACTCCTGTTATATTTATTAAATTGTTGTTCCCAAGTGTTCCTAGTGAAACATAGGGCTACAACTGCACGTCTCCACTTGACTCTGTCTTTTGCTGTACTTTTCACCTACATCCATGTCACTCCATACTGTTTCAACTCGTCTTCACACCATCTCCTCCATGTCACTTTTGGACGTCCCAATCGCCGCTTCCCTTTCGGCCTGGTTCCACTCGAGCAATGGCCTGACGCACGCGCGATGTCACCCAGCGGTCTCCTCAGCCACGAATGTCCAATCCATCTCCACTTTCTCCTGCATATTTGTTGGGCGATTGGTCGTTCTTGTTTTGTTTGTTTGCGCCCATAGTTTCTCGTTGGTGATTCTTTCCGGCCCGGCCGGCCATGTGATCTTCAGTATAGATCCAGCGAAGAGAGTTGTTGGTTGATAAAGGTCTGCTACAGGCTATTGGAAATATTCTTTGTGACCCGCCCACCCGCCGAGTTTCTCATCCATATAGAAGAAGTGACTGACTTGACGTTTGTATTGAAAATCCGACTGAATTTTGCTGTTGATGCTGGTTGAGTGACGAAGATTTCCAGATTGGTTTCAGGTTGATGAATGTGTGTGTTTCTCGCCTTCCCGATTCTCGCTCGATTTGACATCCTCGTCCGTTCCGACTGCCTGTAGTTGAGACAATGCTCCCTACATAAGTAAGTGAATGAAGTAGCCTCTTTCAAATTCCTCCCGTTGATGGTGATTGGCGCTGGAAGTTGCTGCTGCTGTTGTTGTTGTTGGTTGGTTGGTTGGTTATTTTCATCACCTCGGTCTTGTCTATGTCCACCTGGAGTCCTGTCTTCACTACCTGCTTCTTCAACCAGTTTGTCGGTTTTCGCTTGTAAGTCTTCCATTTTGTGTGACATCAAGCATAAATCATCCACGAGCGAAATCCAGGTCTTCTATATCCTTCATGCTGGTCCAGGATATCCCTGTCTGCTCGTTTCCCACTGTCTGACGCATAATCCAGTCAGTCCACCACAATTAGGAATATCACTGCTGATAATAAGCACCTTTGTCTAACTCCTGTGTTTACTCCAAACGCCTCGCTGAGTTTTCCTTTGTGGATCACTTGACATGTGCCGTTGTCATGTAGCTGTTGAATGAGGTTGATGAATATTTGGGGTACGCTGTAGTACTTGGGTAGTTTCCAAATTACTTCGCGGTCATCGCTGTCTGTCGGAGACCTTCTCAATGTCTATGATGCTGAGGTAGAGGTTTGATTGCCATTCCATACTATGTTCTGTGATGATGATGCGTAGAGATGCGATTTGGTCAGAACATGATTTGCCTTTCCTGAAGCCAGCTTGTTCTGGTCGCCCTTCTTTGGTAGTTTCACTAGGTAACCTTTCCTCCAGTCAGTAGGCACCTCTCTCCTTCTAGATCTTTTGCAATAATGTGGTTAGCATGTCTGCTGTCGTCTCTGGGTCCGCTTTCAGTGCTTCAGGGGGTACTCCACCCGGTCCGGCTAACTCCTGTAATATATTGACTAATATTAACAACTATGACTGTGGTAACTAATTAGTTTTTTAATACCCTCTTTCGTGTTAAAAAGGTATAAAGGTAAATAAGATAAGTTTACTGGAGGGAATCTGTTCACTGAGCTACTTGTTCTGTTGTTTTCACTAAACCTAAATCTATCTTCTTTTTGACTATGCAAGCAGTTAACAAGAGAGCCTATATCCTATTGCTTACACATACTAAAAGGAGGCTTCAACCGGTGTCAAGAAGTCAGTGGTGATATCACTGTGTGATACAGCATCTCTTATTTTACCTAAGCATGTACTTATATATCAGTTTACGATATACACAATAGTTGAAATCTTCAGAAAATTTCTGTAGTACTTTAAATCACTGTAGTTAGCTAAACCAAATAATATTGGTTAATTAGTACTAAAAACTCTACAGTTATTCCGGTTTTTTAAAATCAACTATTATGATTATCAGAGTGAAACGAAATTTTTTGACAGAATTGCGTAGGCATAATTAAATGTAACAATTTTACTATCCATATCATAAATTTAATCTATTTTGCGAAAATATTAAACAAAATCCTCCATAGTAACGATACTTAGACATTGTTACCTAATTGTTAGTAACATCGGAAACACTCCACCGTTAAACAATGCCCTGATAGCAGTGGTAATGCGTGTTTTAGAATAGTCTGTTGAAAGAAGAATTCAACAATCACTATGAATTAGATTACTATTATAATTATTCTGTTTGTTGTAATATCGTTATGCCATTGGATTTCGACGAGGAACATAAAATTTCAACAGGACATCTACACCTTGTTCTGTTCTCTGTAGTCCTCTTCAACTAGCCCCATGATTACCTTCTCACAATCTCCTCCAAGTCATCAGAAGACCCCAAACTAGTCATGTTTCACCTAGGATGTGAAGAGTGATATCATTCGACGGTCTTCTCAATGTGTGTCCGATCCATCTCCATTTTTTCTACACATATCTTCAGCAATAGATTTTTAGTTGATTTGTTCCCAGAGTTTCTTGTCACCAGTTCTTTTTGGCCATTTGATGTTCAGTATGGAGCCAGAGAAGGCAACTGTTGATAAAAGTGAGAAACAGTTTATTGGAAATTCATTTCATGAAGCACCAAATAGAACTTTCTTAACATCAGTTGTGTGGATGTAGAAACCAAGATCGAAAAGGGAAGAGGAATATTCATTATTCTTTAAAATCAGTGTGAAATTTAATGCATTCAGCATAAGGAACAACATTCGGACTTTCAACACTGATGCCAGTCAGTGATTCCCTTTGGTTCAAAGATTTGACTTGTTACCAAAATCATTTCAACCAGCTGCCTTTACTCCACAATGAAGATCAAGTGGCCGGTCAGAATAGATTGGCAACAAGGGACTTTGTCGGTTGATGGACCAATCAACAACATATCGCCTTACATTTTTTCTGGGGAAAATGGAGGTGTATTGGACATAAGTTGAGGAGACCACATAATGACATTGATATTAAAGACGACACCAACAATAAGGAATCTAAATCATCAGTAGTAATTCCATACAAGGAAGGAACCTAGGAAACCTTACGCAGAATTCTTAACAAGGCAGGAAGTGACTAGCATTCAAACCCACACACTCAATTAGAAACAAACTTTGTCGGTTAAAGGATCCTGTGGAGCCTTTAAAACAAAACAATTTAGTTTATCTAATATCCTGCTTGAATAGCTGTCAGGTCAAATACATATGTCAAACTAGTAGAACAGGGACAGTCAGACTAGCTGAACATAAAAACTTGGCAAAATCTAGATTGGTTGACCCGAATAAGATAAGAAATCTAGGGAATAGTTCAGCTATCGCAAACACTACATGCAATGACACATAACCATACAACAGGATGGGATAAGATGACAGTTTTGAAATCTAATGTCACAGGGTGGAGGGAGAGATTGATAACAGAAGCTTTGTTTATCGAATCAACTTCAAACGCGTGTAATAGGAATGGTTCAACACCTGTCCAGGTGGACATCTGGAAAATTATACTACCCCTACGACAAATAGGACAGAATAAAGAAAACTATAAAACTCAAGTTTCGAAGTCGTGTGATTACAATTGATATGATTATGAACAATAAATTATGTTGGAAACGTCATCCAGTAAATAATTTTGTTTCACTGTGTGATACATCTAATAAACAAGCTAATATGGAATTACTTACTACCACAGTGCCTAAGTTTTACACTGTGATTAAATCTCTCCTGGAACTGTGTGAAGTACACATTAATTTGCTAATCGAGTATCCGACTTATGGTTCTTAACCAGTCCAGTCCTGTACCTAGTCCGAAATTGCGGTGGTTTGAACTGACTTGATTTTCTGAGCTGTGTTAAATGAAGAACAGTGCCGATAACCTCAGATGAAATTGGGTGAAACATAAGACTCCTGTTCAGACTCCTTCGATCAGCCTAGTAAGTATTACTGGTTGATGCGCATGGTGCACAACTACTTATGTTCGTCGGTGGCACAGTGGTTAGGACTCTCGCCGACCATGCACATGGTCCGGGGTTCGAGCCCGCACCGACGCACACCTGATATCTATGGTCGGCCTGCAAAATTTGGGCTACCGATATCCATGCTGAAAATTCCATACTTGTACCAAAAATACAGTGTGGAATCAAGCTGTAAATCAAAAATCAAAAATTAAAAATTAAAATTATCTCAGTCAATCAGTAGTATGTAGTTTTATGCATATATGATTTTTTTTAATGATCGTAATTCTATGCAGCGCCTACTAAAATTGGAATGAAAAGCACAAGAGTAGAAGGGTTTAAATGATCAAACTCCAGTTTTGTTGTCTTAAGGTCCTAATGAACGATTCCGTATACATCCTAAACACTTAACTACTACACATAATATATTTCTATTGACCACCAAGTGTGTAATAAGTCTGTAATCTTGCAGGAAATAAATTACAATACGTTACTTATTTTAAACAAATATGAAAACATGTTAAGATAATAACCATGAATAAGTCATTCACACTGCACCAAAAGAATAAAATCAATAGGATACATGGTGCTCGAGGTAGAACGAAACAGAGACCAAGAAAGAGAGAGAGCGAGGAGACTAAGTACCATTTTTTTCTCAAATAAAGAAAGTGCACACTTATTACCACCTATTTTGTGTGTGTGTGTGTGTGTCGGTGTTCCTGTAAATTTATTCAGCTTCAAAACTAAACTACATTCATCATATCTTGCATTGTCTGCATAAATGTGCATTGTTCCAAACTAATTTAATCAGAGATGATTCCTCGCACTAAATCAGTCAGTAATAGAATGAAAGAGTTCAACAGATAAGTAAATAAGCATGCAGAGAAATTGCACCAAAACAGCATAAATTGTAAATACCTTCTATTGCGCAATATGCTAAGTAATTTTGGTAAATAAAGTGTGACCAAAAAAGGCCTTGAGACAAAACAAAGGTGATGTTTTATAGCCAAAAAAATGAAAATGAAAAGTAAAGAAAGAGAGATTGAAACGAAATATAACAAGATAAACAAAGTCAGTGCCAATTTTTACGAGGTGAATAAGCTTTTTTGTCTGCTTGACTCCAGGGACTTATCTTCACCTTCAATTTCCCCTGCATGTCTTTTGTAAAATTAGATAGAGACTGTTTTGCTGTCACAAATAGATATCACTGAAAACTAGGGGATCTTAGGTGACTTTTAAATCCTATTTTGAAACTCTTTACCACTGAGCACCTATAACCTGATCATAGTTCAGATACAGAACCTTGATGTCATGGGGTTAGCACGTTCACAATTCACTAAGTGAGGCTGAATAAAATAACCCATGAATCCTGGGTTTTGTCAATTAGGATATAGCTCACCGGCGGCTTAATAGTTTTTCAGGCAAATCTGATTTACAACTTCACTAACCAATATCAGTTCATCATCGAGTTTACATTAAAATTATTTAAATCCCTATGAATAAGACATATTATAATTATCTAAGTGTCGGTTTGCAGAGATTCGATTGATTTCATTTTTGATCACTAATTGGCTTTAGTTAGGGAATCATTGTAAACCAGGGAGTACTCGACAGTTGTTTCATCGTTATTTGGGATCCTCTAGCAGTACGCATCCATGAACCCTCCAGGGACCCAACCCAAGACCTTCAGGTTACAAGACAAGCTCGTATATAATTCAGTGACTGGAACGGAATCCGATCCCTAGTGAGTTCCAACTTCACGACACAGCACAGCCGCCACCCAATATCTTCGACGAGTATCTGCTCTCACGCCGAACTTGTTGGACCCCACCAGTGAATTTGCTTAAAGTAACAGTGATATTTCGTGATGGGTATGGTCCATCAAGCTGGGTGTGGGGAAAGACACTCACCGTTGACATTGGCTGGTGGTCACGGTATATCACGAATTGACAGAAGTTAGAATTCATAGGCTATCGAATCCTATCACAATAACTGAATAGTATACGAGTTGATCTTATGACTTAAACGTCCTGGTTTCGATCACTGAAGGTTTCGCGTGAGGGGAACCACCAGAAGATCCCCAACAATGACGAAACGGTTGTCCAGTACTTAGTGGTCTATAATGGTTCTTCTTTTTTCTTATTCTTTCACATTCCCAATGGAACACAGGGCTTCAAACTGGAGGCCTGAAGTTTCGGTAGTAGTGGTGTTTACTTTTACGAGATGCGGTTGCCGGCCCCATAATCAACCTTCCCTCTTTATCAGTCTTATAACCGGCTTAATGAGGTAAAGGAGTGTGTCGGTGGCCGAAAATCGAACCTTGGTTCACATGCGTGGTAAGTGAGGATTCTACCGCTCTGTCACCGACGCACTTAATGATTCTCTAACTAAGTCAATTTTCGGTCAGAATTGAAATTAATTCCCATACAATTCAATCCCATACTTGTAACCATATTCAAACAGATATTACCGCGCAATCTTGTAGAACGAAAAGGCACACATTTTATTGTTTAGTCTTCAATGAAACTTAGAAAATTTAAAACAATTTCTATATAACACTGTAGCCTCTTTCTTGATGTCTTTCTCAGTATACTAATTCACTTTATTTTCATTTTATTACATCTGTGCATTTTAATTTGAATAAAGTAAACTAACGGTTCCGTTTATTATCACCATTGTATTTGCTCCTTGTTTGTCTGTTTATCAAGGGCAAAGATCTTAGAAGCTATATGCGATTGCGTAACAATCACTTATCAATGAATTTAGTTCGACTATTCACCTTTCAAATATTTCGTGGACTTGAATACTGTCATGCACGACAAATTCTACATCGTGATTTAAAACCACAGAATTTACTTATCAATCAAAATGGAGATTTAAAACTGGCTGATTTCGGTAAGAATTTATGCACTATTCACAATCTGTATGATTAATAATATGCAGACCTTCAGTTAACTGTATTTAATCAACAACAGTTCATTTGCCAGTTAATAAGTTTCAAGGAATTAATTATATTTAGTTAATTTAATTTACCTATTTCCCTTTGATTGAATATATTGGACCGAAATGTTTGCTCACTGTTGAAATATCAGCTTCTAGTACCAATGCTTCTGTGTTAACTTAGGATTAACATGAAGGAATGCGATGGATGGTGACTAACAGTGGAACTTAAGATACTCATTTCCTCCTATTCAGGACTCGTCATCAGGATGTACCTATATTCCCAATGAATAATGATGTTCCTAGTGAGACGGAAGTCACATGTTAATCCCCAGACAACCTCGAAGCATCAGTATTAGAAGCCAGTATGCCAACAGAGACCGAACATTCCGATCAAATACAAAAATCAAGTTAAACTGTAAAAACAGAAGACAAGGCCCAGGCAACAGATCGTTTATTAAGCAAATCAACACATATTTATATATTTTCATGTACATTATTATAGATTATTTAAGCAAACAAACACAGTCTTCTGATTGGTTGTTTCTCACTGAAAGTTAACCTTGCATCTCTTTGTAGCTGTTTCTTGAATGTCAGATCATGTATATGTTAACTATATCCGCCTACGCAAAGTGTGCTTTGGTTGGTTGTTGAACCAATCTTTGTTCATATTTTCTCACAACCAAAATTTGGGACATAAACATTGGCGTAAATTAATGTCTACCAATTTGGCTAGCAGCCTGCTCTTACCACAGAACAAATCAAACTTATCCCGGTTACACAAAATGTGCTCGTCGTGGTCCAAGTGGCCTCGTGAGTAAATCTGTGGCTCTAGAAACTATGGGTACTGGGTTTGAGTCCCAGTGAGAACAGTACCACTCACCAGATATCCAGGTACACTCAGACGGCGAGTTCAGGTTAGAACGAAATGTGCATTCTGGATTTCACAGCTAGTCACTAGCATCCACCAAACAGCAGAAATCATCAAATGCTGAAATAATGCAGCAGGCTTGTAACTCAACTTCTCAACAGTTCAAGCTGCTTCACAATGTATCTACAAACGATAGAAAAAATTATAATAAAGGGAGCAAAAACGAAGTTACTTTAAAACAGAAAAAACCAAACTAAATCACAAAGTGAAATGCAAAGTGGAAAGTGCTTCAGAACCAATGTCATCATTAGTCTGATATTTTGAAATGCTTTCGTATGCAATAAGAAAAATTCGGCTAATATTTATGTTGATTAAAAGTGCTCATTATAAATTTTCAAAGCCTGATTAGTGAGTGAACAAAGATTATTGTTTTCGATAATTTCATCAGGTTGTACATTTATGTAGCCATAGAGAAGCTACAGGATTACGGCTATTTACGACATTAATACTTAAAATAACATTGAGTCATTAGGATCGATAGGTCACTGTTTAAAATATGTGTATATGATAATATGCATAAATATAACACTAAATTGAAAAGAAAGAAATTAGAGACAGTAGTATAGTATTTATAAATTCATAGGCAGATATATTCCACAGAAGGACAGGATATCAGTACTAGCTGCACATGGGTTATTTTGTATGCAAAGTTTTGGTTGTATTAAGCGAATCACTATAGCTTCTAGTGATTTGATAGTTTACCCTGAGCTGGTTGGTTTAGTTGCGGAGCTTTCGTCATCCACCTTCTGGACAACATCTTCAGCGCAATATTTAGCATAAAGTGAAATGATTTAAATTTTCTTCATGAGTGATATAATTGCGTCTCCCATAACCATCTTTACATATGTATTGACCATTTTCTATTGACTTGGATTTTAAACTTTCTGATCACCTGATTTACTTTTTATTAGTTGGTATATTTGGTCTATATTAACGTTTTTGTTAATTACATATTCATTTGAGTACCAGGCTTCTAGGAATTCCCTGGGAATTTTGGTGTTTCCACTGTCTAAGATTTCGACATTATCCCAATCGAACTGATTGATATTCATAATTGTCTATATGCATTGATATGAAAGAATATATATCGTGTCTTTTCACAGCTGATTTGTGTTCTTGGATTCTGATTCGAAGGGGACGCCCACTTTGACCGATGTAATGTAATGTCTTCTCTATTACTATGGCTTCTGCTGTCTAGAGTGTTCGGTATCTCATGGTCATTGATAATTTGTTCGATATACCACAGATGTTAGAAAAAAATTCTTAAATGTTCACTTTGTGGTCTTTTTGGACCAGTCATCTATTATCGAACTGTTAATGGTTTTCACTACATCACTGTTTAATCATACTGGCTGGTGATTCTGAGCAGAAAAAATCAAGTCCCACTGATAGATATTTGACTATAGGACCTTATGAAGAAGTTATCGTAACGAATATTCCTTGTTCCTTAATCAGTCTTTTCAATTATGGTAATACTCTTTATCGATATGCTTATTTATTTCGCCAAGCTGTATTTTGATAATAATAATAATAATGCTAATAACACTTTTATTCTAGACGGTATTTATGAAATATACAGAATTTTCTGAGAGTTTATTGCATGATATTTTCACTCCGTACAATATCTTCAAGTAAAATATAGAATGACAGTATATCCTTTGACACAATGACGTCTGAGTTGAAGTACAAACCATTCCATTATAATATATTTGCTACGTCTTCTACAAGAAATCCACGATGTCTAGTCGAAAGCCAATTGTAAGATGTTCAGAAATACTCTTTGAGACCCAAGGAGATAACCGAAGATTAGTTGCCACCTGTAATCAGCTCTTTCCTCAAGTCTAGTAGGAACTAGCAAATCAGAAGCTTGTTAATACTTTAAATACACACCAGAGTAGAGAATACATTAGAGGTCATATCTAAATCGATTAAAACAAACGATCGAGAGAAAATATATCCAATAGAGAGATGGAAGCTTTTGATAGCCCAAGTTTTAAGCAGGCCGCCAATCCTGACAAAATACTTATATCTTACGTTAGAAAGTCAAGCCGACTGAATATATGAAAGTATAATTGCGAGCTGGTTTAGCTGAATTTTTAGTCGGCAAAATATTTTAACTCAACTTCTTATAAGCTAAGTTTTCTTGGAAAAATCGTATACAGACTACTGCAGCATTCGGTTATTTTTACTATATGAATAAATATATACGTCTATTCAAAAATTTGGTGTATCTCAACCCATTATGCTTTAGTGTGTAGTTTACGTCGTGAAAATACAGAAAAAAAGAGACAATTCGGGCGATCAATCGGATTCCGTTTAAAATACTTAAACCGTGTCCTTTAGTCTCTGTGCATTTCTTAAATTAGCTCTTCTTTAATTGAACTCAGGTCTCTTTAGAATCTTCTACTTACTTTCATTTCAATGCTTCCCTTTCGGGTTCTACTTGAGGGCTTGTCTAGTGATGTCACTTGATGGTTTCCTCAGAGTATGGCGAATCCATCTCCATTTCTTCCTGCATATTTTTTTGCACAATCGGTTCCTACTGGGTTGGTTCGCTCCCAGATATCCCTTCCTGTTGCTGATCTTTTCTGACCATTCATCTGATCCTGAGTAGTATTAATCGAAGACAGCTGTTGGTGGAGGTCTGTAGTTTGTTTGAGGTGCTGTTTATGACGCGCCAAGTCTCTGATCCGTATAGTAAGTAGCACTGACTTCAAAATGGAACTGAAAATCCGGATCTTATTTTTGATGGTGAGTGATGTTGACCTCCACACAGACTTGAGGGTAATGAAAGCTTGTCTTGCTTTTCCGATCGTGGCTTTGATATCCTCTTCAGTTCCGTCCGCCTGTAGTTGAGCGATGCTTCACAGGTAGGTAAAGGAGGCTTTTTTTCAGGCTTCTCTCATTTATGCTGGTTGTATTCTGATGTTGTTGCTGTTGGTGGTGTTGGCCAGGAATCTTCATCACCTCTGTTTTCTCTGTGTCACCTGAAGTCTTATCTTCGATGCTTCGTGTACCAACTTGTTGCTTTTCACTTGCATATCTTCCAGTTTGTTGGAATCAGACATATTCCATCGGCGACATCCACATCCTCCAGTTTTTTGTGTAGGTCTATTTTATGCCTATTTCCTCAAAGCCCACTGTGTTTCTGTCGCATTATCCTGTCTACCTCGGTCCGGAAAATCATTGGAGATAGTAGACAGTCAGCTTGTCTTACTTCCGCCATCACTTGGAAGGATTCCGTGAGTTTCCCGTCGTGGATTACTTGACATGCAGCATTGTCGTACAACTGTTGGATGAGATGTATAATTGTCGTCGGTAACCCGTAATAGCGAATTAGTTATCAAATCACCTCTAGATTGACGCTGTCGAAGGTCTCTACAAAGTCGATGAAGTTGAGATAGAGAGGTGACTGCCATTCCAAGCTTTGTTCAATGATGATTCGTATTGTGGCGATTTAATCAATACATGACTTGTTTCTCCTGAATCCAGCTTGTTCCGGTGGAAGTTTTTCATCAAGGGCTTGTTTGATTCTCTCCACAAATTGGTAATAAAGAAAGCTAATTCATTTTTGTGTATTTATATAATCCAGGTAGTCAGTGATTGTGGAAGTGCAGGTAGGTGGCGTGTGTGTGTGTAAGGGTAGGGTGGAAAAGTGAAATATGATGTCATAATGTTGGTTTTTATTGTGAGTTGTGAAAATAAGATTAAAAATGCAATCATTAGTGATCATGGTAACGATAACAAGGATAGTATTGCAATTGAAGATAATATTTAGTTATTCTGTGTGCCAGGGTAAAACATTATTCCAACTATATCTGTGATGAAGGCGATGGCCATGAAGAGAAGTGAACAAACTTATTCTGAACAATCAATCAGAATGAAAGGCAACTGTCTGAGTTATACCTGGTAGTAGGTGTACAAATCTAGAAAACAGTAGCGATGTCTTGTATAAAATGGTAAAAGTTAAATTCTTATCGGTCTATAGCCGCTAGATACGCTAAGACGAAGCTTTAGTAGGATTCATTTTTCTCCTTCCTAAATACACGAAAGGATGTTCAGGAAGGCGACGAGCTGTTCTGTTTTTCATGGCTGTTTTCACAAATGCATCTGAATTTATGCTTGCACAGACTTACATTTCACCTACACTGAAACTACACTATAAGTTATTTTTAGATTTTCCGTCGATTAATTGGACCGAAGTGCTCGGTCTCAGATTGACATGTCGGCTTCTTATGCAGATGCTTCGACGATGTCTGGGCATTTAATCAGAACTTAAATGGTGGATGGTGAATAGCAGTGAATCCAGGATGCGCGTTTCGTCCTATTTGGGATTCATCATCTGGATGTACCTGCACTTCCGATTGAGTGATGATGTTCCCACCGAGACTCAAATCCAGTGTACAAGAAGTGGCTCTCGGGGCCCAAGTGGTCTAATGGATAACGCTTTGGCGTTTGAAACTATAAGCACTGGGTTCGAGCCTCGGTGGGAACATCATCACTCACTGGGAAATGCAGGCACATCCAGCCGACGAGTCCCAAATAGGACGAAATGTGCATCGTGGATTCCACCGCTAGTTACCGTCCACCAATTAGATACACTATAAGTTAGTTGAAAAAATGGATCCTTTTAATGTTTGATGTCAATGGTTCTGAAGCCACATTCTTTAGAACGATACGGTTGGATAAAGTTGAAGATATGTATAGATATTTATAAAAATAAGTTATCTGAGGTGCCATCATTGCTTCTGATATAAAAACATAGATTACAGTTCTATAATCCAACTACTGTGCTTTATGGTTACCAGTTATATCTGTTAAAGAGTGAACATTTTTCTAACACGAAGAGTAACTCACATTAGCAACCTTTTAGTGTTTGCTCAGAAATGAAACACTGTCACTCTTTGATGTATACTACGGCAATTAGTAAACCTAATTGCTTAAGTTATACACATCTAAAAGACTGATTAATGAACCAAAAATGACATTAATTTGCTTTACCACTTGACATTTAACTACGATTAAAATCACAAACATTTTAGTTTTAATCACATTTCATACTACTATTACTATTATTTTATGCATTCACACCTATGATTCAATTCCCTCACCGGATATAACTTAAAAATCATTTAT